TCAAGACCCCTGAGATCATAACCTGAGCCGAAGTCAGATGTTTAACCGACTGAGCCACCCAGGGGCCCCTTTTTCTCTGATTTTTAAGGACCTGTGTTGATTTCTATTCTTTGAAATACCTGCGGAGTTTCTGTTCCTACAGTGAACCCTGACTGATACAGTATTTAACAGGGATCCAGCTTTCTTCCTAAACAGCCAGATATTGTACAGATTTTATTGGGTAATCCCTCTTTCCCCATCTAGTCTAGAATACTACCTTTCTCATAGACTAAATTTATATTTGTATTTTGGTCTATTTCTGAATTCTCTTTTATTGACCTATAGTTCATATGTCTTTTTCCCTATTTTAATTCATGCTATATTTTATTTTAAAAATTTTTTAGGGGTGCCTGGGTGGCTAGTTAAGTGTCTCATCAGCCTTTGGCTCAAGTCATGATCCCCGGGTCCTGGGATTGAGTCCTGGGTCAGGTCGGGCTCCCTGCTCAGCGGGAAGCCTGCTTCTCCCTTTCCCTGCCGGCCCCCACTGCTTGTGCTCTCTTTTTTTCTCTCTGTCAAATAAATAAAATCTTTAAAAAAAAAAAAGGTCTAAAAAAATATTTTAAGCTCCATGCCACACGTGGAGCTCGAACTCATGACCCCAAGATCAAGAGTGGCATGCTTCACCAACTGAGCCAGACACCCCTAATTCATGCTATATTTTAACGTGTGACAGATAAAATCTCCACCCACACCTAAATCACTTATTTTCAGAGATTTTCTATTACATTTTTTTAATCAACTTTAGTATCATTTTGTTAATACCAAAGGTTATTTTGGTATTTTCATTAGGTTTGCAATAAATTTATAGGTTAATTTAAGAGGAATTGACAGCTCGGGGCGCCTGGGTGGCTCAGTTGGTTAAGGGTCTGCCTCCGGCTCAGGTCATGATCCCAGGGTCCTGGGATCGAGCCCCGCATTGGGCTCCCTGCTCAGCGGGGAGTCTGCTTCTCCCTCTCCCTTGGCCTGCTCACTCTCTCTCTCAAATAAATAAATAAAATCTCTAAAAAAAAAAAATTGACAGCTCTATAATATTGAAACTGGAAATTCAGGAATATAGAATGTCTTTATTTCCCTAAATCTTTCTGACTTTGAAGACCTGTATTTTGCTCGTATAGGTACTGCAGCTGCCATACCTGTCTTTCGTGGTTCCATAGGAATTGGATCTTTTACGTTATTTTCAAACATCTTTTATGTAGGAATGTTATTTTTTGATATATTTCATAACTTGCTAGTTTACTAGGTAGTGATAACAGAATAATAATATGCAGGTGCTTACTTAAACTTTGTATGTGCCAGGCAGTGTTTCAAAGTGCTTATATTACCTCATTTAATCTTCTCAGTCCTGCGAGGATAGGCACTATTATCATCATCTCCATTTGAAAGCCGAGAAAACTAGGGCACAAAAAGGTTATGTAACTTAACCTGGGTGTGCGTGTGGAGAGGAAAGGCTTGTCTGTCTTCATGCATCGAACATGGGAACAGTTCATTGCCAGTGAAAGGGTTGGTTTTTGTTGTCTGCGTTTTATCTGAGGCCCTTGTTTACCTTGGTTACTATCCGTCCAGAGTTAGTACGTGTGTGGAACAGAGATTTACACTGATCCAATGCCCTGTGACAGATGGAACCAAGAGTGTGATGGCAGCACACACTGGCCCCTTCAGTCACGTAACACCTCGGTAATTACTTTGTCCTATCACAGCGATGTGAGATCCTTTGAGGCCTGCACTCTACATATATTTTAGGCTTAGATTTAGATCATGTTTCCTAAATCTCTCACTGAATTTGAAGACATAAGTTGTCATCTCACATAAATTCCTGGTATAAACTGATTCCACCTCCAGAATTAGCAATTACAGATTCTGATAAGACCCCGAAAAAGATACTTTGCTGTTACAACTAACTGAAACCATTTATTCGCTATCTCGGAAGCCCGTGCTTGCTTCCTGTTGAAATGTGCTTGGTTTATAAAGTATAGTGGATTCACATTGTTCAGCCATATTCACAAAAAAAATAAGAAAAATATCAGCCGTTCACAAAGACACAAAAGTTCTTGGATTTGAGCCGCAAAGATCCAGATCCTGACAGTTTATTTTGTAAGATGTATGCCCCCATAACTCAGGTATTTGTAACCCTTTGTGAATTGTCAGGTTGCAGGCAGTTTTCTTTTAAAAATCAAAGGAGCAACAAAGTCTTCATCCCACGGTAAAATTTCTACTACCAAAACAACATTTTGGGTATTAAAAATAAACATATTCAAATTTAGTATGAATTAGGTCTATTTTAAATCCTTAACTGTAAGATTACAGTTGAAAGTGATTAAAAGATGAGTTTTCATTTGCATAATCTAATAAAGTTGACGGCTAGGACTTTTTTTTTTTTAAAGAGTTAAAAGCATTGCTGCTCATCCTGCTTCTTGCTCCTGGCAGCCTCAAGCCACCGGAGCACAATTACATGTTGGAAGTACGCAGGAAGATTCCTCTGGATGGTGGATGCTGCCACCCCACTGCTCTCAGCAATGGTGAGCCCCCTGACTCAGCATTAGAAATACAATTACTTTTCGCTAATGAACTTGTTTTTCTGGTCTGTTACTGCAGCAGAGTTAGAAGAGAGATGTCAAAATTTACACAAAGAAGGGAGGAGACAGCCAAGGCTGCAGGATCAGTAAATATAAAGTTATCTTTGTAAGTCAGAGCCTAGCACTTTTCCAGAAATTCTTAAGGACATTGCCCTATATCTGTTCCTTGGATTAAGCACGTTGCAGTGATGGTTCATAATAATCCTCAATCGTTAAGGAAATGTAAAATTACATTTAGGATATAGTTAAATAAAGCAGAGATGGGCCATATTTTTAAATAAATGATTACAACAGTTATGTTTCTCTAAAGGTTAGTTGAGGGTTTAGGAACATTCATTTATGGTGGTCCTTTCTAACCTGGATTCCATGGGTTTGCTTTAGGTATCCATGAACTTTTAAAAATTGTGTGTGTTCTTAAATCTCTTTTCCCTGCAAGAGGGGAGCATGGGGGAGGGAGACTCCATAGCTTTCTTCAGTTTCTCAAAGACAGTTGAACCCAGAAAAGATTAAGAACTAATGAATCCTACGAGAACCCTTCAAGCCAGGGAAGTGTAATTTTAAATTTGGGGACAGGATAGTGATGCTTGGCACACAAAACAGGTTATCAAGTTGTGATTAAATTTAGGTAAGTGATGAATCTAGAAGCCTCTTAGCATATACACAGTTAAAGCTCCCTTTTTTTTTCTCTTAAAATTCTACTACCACGGGCGCCTGGGTGGTTCAGTTGGTTAAGCATCTGCCTTCGGCTCAGGTCATGATCCCAGGGTCCTGGGATCGAGCCCCGCATCAGGCTCCCTGCTCAGCAGGAAGCCTGCTTCTCCCTCTCCTACTCCCCCTGCTTGTGTTCCCTCTCTCTCTGTGTCTCTCTGTCAAATAAAATCTTAAAAAAAAAAAAAATGCTACTACCAGTCTTCACTCTCTTCCTTATGGTGCCAAGACAAAGTACCTTCAGCCACAAAGTCAGAGACATCTTCAGCGTGGCCTCTGCTTTATCTCTTCTAAGGCACCCTAAAACAATTTCCAAGCCCCAAAGTTAAAAATAGTCAATTCTCCAGCCAGCTAGACAAATAGCAGCTTCCTTGGCCACAAAAATCTTCAAAGTGGGAATGGATTCAACTCTCTCTACCACTGAGCAAATCTCTGGGGGTTGGGAAACCATTTGTTGAGTGTTTCGAGTAAATAGGGACCTCAGGAAGCAGGGAAAGAGCCAATCATGTGCTGCTCTGTCATTAAAGAGGTTATAAACCAGTCTTAAAGAAGCAAATCAAAATCTTGTTCTGACATTCTACATGAAATGCTATACATTTAGTTAATCCCCGGTACATAGTTTTAGTGAATTGTCTTCACTTTGTCCCAAATTCATTAATCTAGGACTAACATTTTTGCATCTGACTTCAAGAGATCTTCATGTAATTTACATTATAAACATATTGTAAGAATTTCATACTGTACAGAAAGTAAAAAAGTAAAGATCCTTCCCTGAACAATGCCCAGTTTCCATTTCCTGGAGGTCCACTGAATATTTTTGTGTATCCGTTCCAGAAAATATGTATGCCCTTTGAAAAACATACACAAATGAGGTCACACTACATATATTATTAGTCGTCTTGCTTTTTTTCACTATCTTGCAAGATTATCCACCTCCTTTTTTTCCAGTGGTGCAGAGCACTAACTGTATGTCTGTCGTTATTTATGAATCCCCACAGAGGATATTAGATCGTTCCACGTGGGGGCTCTTTCCCTCAGCGCTCCAGTGGCCACCCATGTGTAATACGATGGCCTATTGTGTGAGTCACCTATGAAGTAATTGCTAATAGTGGGGTTTCTGCTCAGAAGGCAAGTCCTTTTACATTTGTAGGATTTGATACTAAGTTGCCTTCCCACCAGGTTACACCAATTTACACTTCCATCCCCAGGGTACAAGAGCACCTGTCACCCCCAGCCTCGCTGACACTGGCTTTTCTAAACTTTAGTTTTTGCCATACTAATAGGCAAAGGTATCGTTTGGTTCGATCCTTTTTTTTTTTTTTTTTTAGTAATCTACACCCAAAGTGGGGCTCGAACTCTTGACCCTGAGATCAAGAGTCACGTGCTCTTCCCACGGAGTCAGCCAGGCACTCCTACTAGTTTATTGCTTTGATTTCTTTTATTATGAGTTAGGAATAAGATTTATTTTAAAATAAATACTTGTTGATTTCAATTTTAAGAATCGGGGTCCATTGTTTTTTCTTTTTAAGCACTTGGTGCCCCCCCCCATTTCTTACGGTTTTGGTATTTTCTCTAGAAAGTCACCTTCCTAAATGGTATAATAAGATACTTTTGGGGGGAAGATCAGTTTTCTTTGCATTTGTCTTTTTTTTTTTAAGTTCTCAGTTGCCTTGGGTCGAACTAGTATTTCAGTCGATTCCTCCATCTCTGTGCTTTGGCAAGATCTTCTGCAATAGTTCTAATCATTCGATCAGTAGTGTCTTTCAAAATGGTTGCTGTCCTCAGGGCATGAGCCAAAGATGAGTTTAAAATCTACAGAGGAAAAGTCCACACATTTTGTATAAAGTTACTGTTTCTGTTAATTGGGTTATCTCATTATTAAACATTGCAAGGTGGAATTTTTGGAGTATTCTTTTCCCACCCAGTCTATTCCTGTTTTTGACGGTTGGTTTCCTAGGAAACCAGTCTGAGATGGAATATATTTTTTAGGGAAAGGGACAGAAAAAAAAAAAAGACCCAACACGTGACCGGTGAGTGTGAACCAGAGGGTGAGATCAGCAACCTGCCAGGCTGTTGCCCTGCCACAGAGGAAGAGATCTGTGAGAAAGAAGGCAAGCCCTTTGGGGGTTGTCGAAGGGGACGGAGGAGTCATAACCCCTGAGAGTGGACCCAGGGGGATTAGTGCTTGCGTTGGAAGCATTTGAAAGTGGTGTGGAATTTGATTGGAAAATTGGGAACCAGGCAGTTCTAACGCCAGTGTCACTGGAACAGACTTGGGAGCGGCTGGAAACAGTCTCTGCTGCCTTCACTCCTAGTCCAAGGGATCCTGTAGCCGAGGCACCACCCACAAAACACTTTCTCCAGGAAATTTCCCTTGGAACCAATTTAGGAATAATACAAACCATGTGGCTGCTCAGGCTGTGTGTCTCTGTGTTAGTGCTGAGCACAAATTGTGTTTAGCGGAGCATTTTCTGGCGCCCCCATACTGTAATAATTTAAAAGCCATCGGCTTTGTGGTCAAGACCATACTTACAAGCTGCAAGGATTCTAGAATGTTTTTGTTTTTCTTTTCTAAGTCCTCACCTCAGATTTTGTTTCTTCGATACTGCCAAAGTTGCTTAAGGATTTGCTTCCAGAAATCCTGCAGGAGTGGAAATGGGGTGAGAGTGTAGCAAGGTCTGAATGGTAGGTCATGAAAACCTTAAGATTTTTTCTGGAAGGCAAAAGCATATTTGTATAAAGCTCCCCTCTCCCCTTGAGCTCTGTGGTGGTTCAGTAATGACTGTGTGTGTGTGTGTGTGTGTTGGAGGTGAGGAGTTTGTGCTCTCTCTGCCTTTTGCTTATAGTCCTGTTGTGGCTGACCACAGAAATAGTTTGTTCCACAACCATGAAGGGTGTTTTCTCCCAGAATCTGTCTCTTCTTCTGTTGCCACAGAAAGAGGAAAAACTCCGATTTTTATTAGGTTTTCATTCTTTTCGGGCCAACCTTCTACCCTGCATATTTATAAAACAAATGCACACAAATCTGCCAATTGCAGGCACTTTGAGTTGAGTTCATTCTAGCACCAATGAGCTTACAGAGTAAGGAGGCAGCAGCAGTAGAAAGATAAAAGCAGCACCTCTTTAAGCAGGCTCCCCTTGCCTACTACACTGTAAGTATGACTCTCGTCTCTTGATGGTCTGGGTGAATAAGGGGGGCCAGTGTCACCATGTACGGTTGTTCCAGTTGCGCACTGCATAGCTCTGGAAGGTTTCATTCACAGTGTATGTGAAGGGCACTGCCTGGTGTTATGCTTTGCACAACAATGAGTAGTGGCCTTAAGGGTTGCCACAAGACATTGCCTGTTGACAGGAGGGCCATGGAGCCATCCTCACGTCCCCCTGGCTTGAGAGTCCTTCTGTTAAGCATTACTTCTTTGGTACATAGGACACTTGTAGCAGTCATCTCCAGAAAGTCTGGCTTCAAATGCTTGTGACCCAAAGCCTCCCTTCATCGCCCCCCTCCCCTACCACATTCACATGAGTTGGTTCCACAGGTTAGTTTAACACATTGGATCTATCATCCAGTTGAGAGCATCAGAGAACATGAGCATCAGGAGCCCCTAGCTAATGAAAAACTCCAGGCAGAGCGGGGCAGTGCAGTGCAGTGGGAAGGGCGTGGGCTTCAGAGTCCTCTGTCTCCCTACATACAATCGGTCACCATGATCAACCATAATAGCCATCACTTGCTGAATGCCAGGTACCTTTCCAAGTGCTTTATATGTATTGACCCAATCCTCAATGAGTTTGGCACTATTATGATTCCCATTTAGGGAATAATGGGGAAATATGGTGGGGAAAAGGAGGCACAGAGAGGTCAGGCAACCAGCTCAAGGACACAGAACCAAGATGCAAACCCAAGACCTCGCCAGAGGCCACATTCTTTAACACTGCACTGCATTATCGTAGGAGCTAGTGAGTTCAGACTGAGTAAGTGAGTGCAGAGCCTGAACTATTAACCACTCTGCTACACTATTGATTCTGCCTCCTAAATAGCTCTTGAATACTAGACCTCTCTCTTCCCTTCTCTACCACCCTTGGCCAAGCTACCATCATTTCACCTGGAATATTGCACCAGCCTCTTGGCCGCTGTGCTCCAATCCTTAACTCCTCTACTCCATTCCCACTCCTTTGGTAGTTAGAATGATCTTTTAAAACACTAAGAAACTTTACAAACACCCTTCATTGGCTTATTATACTCAAGAGTCTGAAATCCTTCCCGTAGCCAACAAGCCCTTGCATGGTCTGGCCCTACCCATCCCACCAGCTTCCCCTCACCAGCCCCATCATGGCCCACAGCCATGCGTACTACACTGATCCAGAACTTGCCAAGGGGCCTTCCCATTCCAGCAAGCTCTCCTAGACTGGAATGTCTTCACTCTTACCTCTACATCCCCTTGCTAGTTGATTCACACTTATCCTTTGGTGTTCAGCTTCACTGAACCTCCAAATTAGGTAATGGCACTCAGTACATCCCCTTTTTGGCACTTACAAAGACTGGCTCTTCTACCAAAAAAGTAACTTCCATGACGGCAGGGACAGTAGTTTAATTTATCACTGTGCCCTCAGAACCCAGCACAAGAGGCTGCTATTAACACTCAAATACTTGTTGAAGAACAAATGAATGTTTGAAATATCAGCCATAGTTTGGTTTGAATCTTGGCTTGACTACTTATGATCTAGGTGATCTTGGGCCAGTAATTTCATGCGCTAAGCACATGGTATGTACCCAACTAATTGGTAGTCATTTTTGTTGTTATTAATAATAAAATAATACTTACTTTCCTGGTATGGGCTCATGTTCATCATGAGAGGATTTTGGATTCGATGTCTGGGAACAGATCCATTCTGGCTTTGAACAAGCTGAAAAATGTTAGCTATGATTAAATTCAGAGCATCAAAAATGATCCCCAGATGGTGGATATATGGGTATCATTTCCCAAACTTTTCTGTATGAAGGAAATATTTCATGAAATTTTTAAAAAGTAAGAAAATTAGGGAACATAGAAAACAAGGAACTTTCTATCAAGTCTTCTGAATTCAGGAAAAGAAATTCAATTTATTTATTTTAAGAAATTCAACTTTTAAAGGGCGTTTTATCAGTAGCCACAAGACCAGGAGTCTAGGTTGGGGTTGGCTGGGTGCTACTGTGTGATACCTGAGCATGCCACCCAACTTCCGTGCACTCAGCTACTTCATCTGGTAAGTGGAGGGGTAGATAATCCCTTTAACGGGGATTGAAGTCTTCTCCAAACACATGAGCAAGGTTTCTAGGAGTCAGAAACTAAATTACGTTACTAAGACAATTCCAGAAAATAGAGACTAAAGAGAAAAGAAGATAAATGTAGGAAAGACACCATGGAAGACAAGAAGAAAGCCAGGGAAAGGAAGAGAGAAGAGTCAATGGCCAATAAATATGCCTTCTCTTTTGCTGGTTCTCCTTCCCTGGTCTCCTGTCTTATTCGCCAGTCTCTCGTAGCTAGGCTTCATTCCCCCTCAGGAGGGTCCCATTTGACAAGGGAACTGGGAGACATTGTCCCTCAGACATGAAAGGCAGAGCAGAAGCTAGAAAGTCCAAATTAGTCATGTTGACCACCCGAACTTAAGTCGTGATGAGCAGAGATACTAAAGAGTTCAGTCTTAATCTTTTGCTAGTCTCCAAATATAATTCTGGATTTTATTTGAAACATAAAAACTCAGAGTTGGGAAGGATCATAGGGTCATCTTGTCCAGTTCTAATCTGGTCTACACCATTTGCAACATCCTGACAAAGTACACTGTCTCCGGATGGAATCTGTAGAGACATCTCTACAGATGGGGCTCAGGACCTCCCACAACAGCCCACTGCATTCCAATTTCTGGAAGGTTCTTTTCAACGCTGAGCAATGCCTCCCTATGACTTCTACCCTCTTGGCCACTATATATTTACTAATGCAGCTCAAAGTCACACTTCAGATGACTCAGTTGATCCCTCATTCCCTCATATATTGGAATGACAAGTCTCATGGACTGTAGACCCAAAGGCGAAGGAGATAGTAAAGAAATCTGCTCTGTTGCTTCTGCAGAGTTTTAGCGGCTGTCATCTCGAGAGAATACATGCACGTGAAGGATTTGGCAGCTGGAGGGGGCACGTAGGGGATGCACAGCTGAGTTCAATCTGGGAGATGGCATTCCTTCATCTTGGAAATTGGCAATTGTGAAAGATAAGAAACAGTCTCCCTGATGCCCTGTCCACAGATAGGGAGAAAAAGCACCGGAGGTATGAACTTTCCCACAAGGAGAGGATGTCAAAGAACCAGATATGGCTGTGGTTCAGAAGCAAAACGCGGAGTATTTCCTTCCCTCCATTTTGTTCCCTCAGCACACTCTGACTTTCTTAATTCTGGCACCACATTTTGCCACGAACTTCCCTTATTTGGGTACGAGTTCCTTTCAATAAATGGTGAACTCCTTGGGGAGGGAGGAGCCATGTCTTACTCATCTTTATAAATAAATGTTTGTGGGCTTTTAATTTTTTCCTAAGACAGCAAAATTTGCATTGAAATTAGCATGTTTAAGGAGTATAAAAATAGTCTGTTTCTTTACATGCGGACTTTTAGCAGGGACATATTTAAAGCTTTCACCACTCCTGAATAATAGCAATACTAGTAGTGACTCTTCAGTTGGTCATTTGTGTAGCAAATATTGACTATTTGTTATCAACCTACACTGAGTAAGCACTTAATAACTTTCAGAGTCCTTTATTGCTAGGATTTCCTATCTCCCAGCCCCGGCCCAGACTCTGGCCATCCAGGATGCGGGGGCCTCAGGTGAGTACTGGAGAGCCACGCAGCAGGCTGGGGAGGGCAGGGCCCACCCCCCCACCAAGGGAAGGAGTGGCCAGTGTGATGCGCGTCCCGCATGCCTGGGAGACCAGCCTGCTTACAAAGATGAGATCGTGCAGCAGAGGTACTTACAAGGTGAAGAATTTTTATTTTCGTTTAAAAAGCAGAGCTTGACAAAGGCACTTCTTTCGTTAGGGTTTAAGTAATTCTCTCCCGGCATGTTGTATCTGTAATGAAATTCTAAAAAGAAAAGATGAAAAATACAACTCACTACCGCGGACAGCAGCTGTCCCCACTTACGCCTTCCGTGCAAGGGCCCCGAGTCGCGCTCACCTTCAAGTGGCTCTTTGCCATGGACTCTTCGGGAATTATGATGCTTAGTGCCACAGTTCTCACTTTTATTACTCTGCAATCCAGTCCCAGAAGCAGAGGAGCAGCTGGGGCCTGCAGCAGAACCTGGAAAAGCCCAAGTTACACAAAGGAAGTGTGAGTTTCTTCACTAGAGTCATAAAGTGTGGCAGCTCTAACCAGTGGGCGCCAAAGTGTCCACTTCCCCAGTTGTGTTCCCAAGGGGAGTTGCCAGCCTCGGGATGACATCTGGAATCCCCTTATGACAACTGAGAGATGTTTTGGTAAGTAACAGATCTGATAGGAAAGCCTAAAGAATTTCCTCGCACATGGAGGTGCTTAGGGAAGGTCTGCTGAATGGATGGGTCCGTGAGAACGTGGCCCACTGAACCAATTACAAATGCAAGATCGATATTTTTCCAGATTTGCCCTGATACACCCTCATTCTTTTCTCAGACCCTGTTGTGGCCAAGAGCTTGTGTTTTGTCACCCAGACGGTTGGAAAGATGGTTTTTCTCTACATCAAATCCATAAGCTGATATGGGAAACTGAATTATAGCTTTGCCCTTATCTGTGCCACAGAGAGGCTAGTAGTAGAGAGCGTGTGTGTCTAGTGCAGGTCTAGGACCTGGCAGGCTGTGGGCGATGGAACCCTCCAGGTAAGGCTAGAGTGTGAGAGGCTGGGCCAGACAAGTGAGCACAACAGGCTTGAGTGTTCAAGCAACATCTCAGCTCCAGGAGAGGTGAGACCAGGGGACAAAGACTGCCGACGCTACCTGCCTTGCTACTCTGGTGATTATGCTCATTTGTAACATTATCTTTCAAAGAGTAAGTCACAATGGGATGAGCTCTAGGGATGTTTTTTTCTTTTCCATATCTCAGTCAGTAGTCATTGAGGGGCGCCTGGGTGGCTCAGTTGGTGGAGCGTCTGACTCTTGGTTTGGGCTCAGGTTGTGATCTCGGGGTCATGAGATTGAGCTCCCTGAGTCGGGCTCCATGCTCAGTGTGGAGTCTGCTGGAGATTCTCTCCCTCCCCTCTGTTCCTCTCCTCCCACTCGTGCATGCACTCTCTCTCTCTCAAATAAATAGATAAAATCTTTAAAAAAATAGTCATTGAATTCCTTCTCAATCCATAACTCAAGGAAATTGCAATAAAGAATTGAGGGCATTCCCTGGGAAGGTTGTATAGTGGAAAGAGCATGAGATTCAGATAGACCTGAGTTTGAAGTCTGGGTCTGCCATTAGTTAGCAGTGATGGTTAAAAATATGTCCACAAATTCTTTGATATGTTCTTCAGAAGGTAGAGCCTAATTCTTCTCTCCTTGAGTGTGGGCTGGATTTAGTGACTTGCTTCTCACAAATAAAGTGATAATGATGTATCACTTCCAAAACTAGGTCATAAAAGACACTGAAGCTTCCATGTTGGTCTTTCTCTTGGATCACTTGGCTGCCATGTCATAATGACACTCAAGCAGCCTATTGGAGAGGCCCACACAGTGAGGAACTAAAACCTCCTCCCAGTGGCCATGTGAGTGAACCATCATAGAGGCAGATTCTCCGGTCCCGGTCAGGCCTTCAGGTGAGGGTGGTACTGGCCAACATCTGACTACAACCTCATCAGAGAACTTGAGCCTGAATCACTCAGCTAAGCAGCTAAGCTGCTCCCAAACTCCTGACCCATAGAAATTCTGAGATAGAAAATGTTTGTTGTTTTGAACCCATTATATTTTGGGATACTTCACTATACAGCAGTAGAAATACACCAGCTCTTTGGCAAGTTACTGAATTTCTCTGATCCTCCATTTCCTTATCTGTAAAATAAAGATAATAATTTCTACTTACAGGGATATAAGGATAGCTAAATATTATGCACTATGTCAGCAGTTCTCAAATTTTTTATGTCAGAACCCTTTTACACTCGTAAAATTGAGAACCCTAAAGAGCTTTACTTATTATAGTTTTTATCTATCCTGTATCATAATATATGCCATTTTTTGTACTTGTGGTGAAAAATCTCACCCTGCATTGGAGAAGAGCTATTATATGACATTCAGTCGGTTGAAGATGGACTGGTAGAGAGGGATCTATTATAAATTTCAAGTCATTTTTGCTTGTGCAGAATCATTCAGATCTTCCCAAGGCTGAAAGGCAAGTCCTAAGGCTTTTTTTAAATAGAATTTTAAACTGAAACATTTAAAAATATTTTTATTATGTCATGTAAAACCAACAGTAATTCATTTCATGCTGATAAAATAAGGGTTTTTTTAAATTTTTTAAAGATTTTATTTATTCAATTGACAGAGAGAGAAGGAGCACAAGGGGAGCGGAAGGGGAGGGAGAGGGAGAAGTAGACTTAATTCTGAGCAGGGATCCCGACGTGGGACTCGATCCCAGAACCCCGAGATCATGACCTGAGCCGAAGGCAGATGCTTAACCAACTGAGCCACGCAGGCACCCAGGTTTTTTAAAAAATAGTATTCATTTATTTAAGAGAGAGAGAAAGAGCATGCGTGCATGAGCTCGCAGACTGGGGGGGGCAGAGGGTGAGGGAGAAGGACAAGCAGACTCTGTGCTGAGCACAGGGCCCGATGCTGGGCTTCATCCCATGACCCCGAGATCATGATCTGAGCTGAAACCAAGAGTCCAACCCTCAACTCACTGAGTCATCCAGGCGCCCCACAATAGCAGGTTTTTAATGCAAAAAAGCTATTTTTAAAAATGAAAGGCTTTAGAAGAGTGGCAGTATTTTATGTTTTGGCAAGTGTCTTGAATACCTGGCTTACTAGAAGGCAGCTGGATTTGACGGCTGCACCTGCATGTCAGTTGCAGTATTGGCCTTGCACGGATATGTAGCTGGGAAAGAGAGGGTCTCACAGCCCCCCAGAAGGGTCTCAGGGACCCCCAGAGCCTTCTGGCCACACTCGGAAAGCCTGTCCTGGTATGGCATCTGGTGTAGTAGGTGTTCAATTGATGAAACATTACTATGACTATTAGAAAATGAATCTTTGGGGTGCCTGGGTGGCTCAGTCGGTTAAGTGTCTGCCTTTGGCTCAGGTCATGATCCTGGGGTCCTGGGCTCAAGTTCTGTGTCGGGCTCCCTGCTCAGCGGGGAGTCTGATTCTCCCTCTGCCCCCGCTGCTCCCCCTGCTCGTGCTCTCTCTCTCTCTCAAATAAATAAATAAAGTCTTTAAAGAAGAAGAAGAAGAAAATGAATCATCTATGGAGAAGAAGTAGAACTACACGTGACAGAACAGAAAGAACACTGGGTCGAAGGAAAGGCTCTTGGCCCACAGCTTGTATGAGCATGAACAAGCCTCATTAGGTCTCTGGCCCCGGTTCTCGTGTATAAACAGGGTAGACCAGCCTCGGGTGGGGACTCTCATGCTCAGGAGCTGCCTGAACAGGCAGGCCTCAGCTTCACCTCTTCCTCAACCAGGGTGGTTCTGCCAGGGGATGTTTTTCTGCTTAAACTACCTTTGGAGGAAGACTCCTCTGACTAAAAATCATTGAATTCCATGCCCTGTGTGCTCTCCCAGTCTCCTCCCAGCTCTAATTTTCTTTGCTTCTGTGAAATGTGTATGGACAAGTCGGCAGCAAGTCTCCCATGGCCAGGAAGCTCACCAGGTGGGGATTTTGGGTCATGCTGGAAGGATGACACCCAGAGTGGAGGCCACCTCACAACTGAGTGCATGGAGTGCTGGGACTCCCGCACAAACAGGTGGGCACTTTCACCCTGTATGACCACATTTGATCCATTTGAATCTATTCCATTTTTAATTTTTTACATATTGCAAAAAAAAAAAAATACAATAGGCAACTCCCTTGTCTAGGTAAAGCTGTTTGGTGTGGCAGATGGTCTGCATGCAGGGAGCAGACCCATGGAGAGGGACCACCGCCCCGGGTCCCTCAACTTACTGAGAATCGAACTGGCATGCTGTGCCTTTTCTGGAATGGCAGGGGGACACCTTCCGCAATTGGTCTTTCTGTGCCCTTTTTTCTCCATGTTTTCCTTCCTGAAAAAGGTGCATAAGATCCCATAAATTTTTAGCCTGCTTCTCCTGGAGATCGTGAACGTGCTGGTAAAACTGAAATGTTAAATTTCTTAGATCAGAGCCTGGGACGATACAGGAGTGGTGTCTTGTCCTCAACACAGAGCTGCCTGCCTTTTTGAGAGCCTCCCTATAAGAAACTGCACCCAGCACCGCTTGGCCTGGTAAGAATATGTATACTAAATGTTAAAAAGTAAATCTGTTTTGTTCCCCAGAGGATGTTATCTAATTACCATGCACACATATGCAATATAGAAATTTGAAATATGGAATTATAAGATTTGGGGTTTTCTTCATATTCGTGTCTCAAAATCAGCTCTTACCAGGGGAAGAAGCTGTGCTCCATGTCAGTGCTAGGTCATGTGGCTTTGGCTCCACAAGTGCAAGCTGAGTGTGTCCAGAACGCCCAGCAAGGTGGATTTTGTCCAGTGTGTATGGGGCTAAAAGCGGCGGGAGCACATTGGTTAATTTTAGCTGTACAAGGCCACCAGGGGGCATCAGAAAGATACCTTCCAGTTGTCTACCAGGACACTTTCTCTGACCTGTCTGTTGCCTCAGCCTCCCTTCTTCACAGAAATTCTAACTCCTTCAGAAAAATTCTGATTAATCACAATTCTTAACAAAGCCCTCGCACAGCCCCTGAGATACAGTAATAGCCCTCCGGGAAAGTTGCTCATTCTTAGTGTGGAAGGCACTGTGCCCTCACTGTCCGGGACAGAGCTGGTGAGAGGAATGAGACTGGTTTCCCCCCCAGGGCGGGGCGGGGGGGGGGGGGGGGGGGGGAGGCGGGGGGGAGTGGGGGAAGGGGGGACGAGCTCCAGACGTTGCTTGCTGAATGCAGCACCCCCCAACCCTGCCCAGGCCTGCTGGCTGCCTTGGAGACAGGCGCTGTGCTTGGAGTTGGTGGGGCTGGGGGCTGAGAAGCTGGGCCCTCCCCACCCCCACCCCCCCCCACCCCCCGGCTTGGAAAAACATGCTTTCCTCCTGACTCACATATTTTCTCACACCTCATCTTCTGTCTCCTTTGGGGCATTTGAACATCTGCTCTCCAAAGTGGAAAACTTGGATCTCTTTCAAGGGCGTTCAGTCCCACACATGACTTTCTTTTTCTGCCTCTTTTAAACTTCTTTGTGCACTAAAATCTTCTTGCCAGACATAAAAGCTAAGGGCAATTCTACTTGAGAAGACAGTTTTCCAAGGAGACAAAGTAGCTAGAGCGCACAAAATCCTGCGTCAGACGTAGCACAAAGGGATATGCATTTTATCTGTAGCATATATATCATTTATCTGCATATATATAAATATCCCTCAAACATCAGCAAACTTCATAAAGCACATGTCCCATCTGAGAGATATCTAATCTTCTAGAAAAGTAAAGAGTATATGTAGCCCTTTGTTCAATTAATCCCTCAGGTATTATGTAGTTTACCAAGATTTCAATTTATAAATCATGTGTATCTCTACTTCACACCCCAGGGGTACATTCATTGTTAGATCTGATTTCACACTTGGCTGTGCTTTTTCCTTCCCTCTTGTCCGTCATAAAAGAGAAAATTTAGTCTGGAACATCAGTCCCTGACTTGATACTTAAGAGTCTCTGTAGGGTCTAGACTAGGGATTTGGAAGAGAAGCATTTAATACCTCGAATGCTTAATCAAAATGTTTTTTAAATGTCAAGCTATTTTTATTATACTTAATACAATTAAAAAAATTCCAAAACCGAGGTTTCATTCAATAAATAAAAATAGTGGGCCTGGGGTGACTCAGGGAGTAGGCATCATTATTGCCCCTTATATTTAAAGGAGAGTCAAAGCCAATGACTGGCATGTTGGTTTAAAGTAATGGTCCACACCAGATGACGCGTGGTCATTTTTAGCACAAACATCATGCACTTTTTAGGGGGCGGACACTCACTAGAACACTTAGGACAAGCTCCCATTCCCGTGATGGAATCCTTTCGAGCTTTGGATCTTGTCACCCGCTTCTTTTTTTTTTCTTTAAATTTTTTATTGTTATGTTAATCACCATACATTACATCATTAGTTTTTGATGTAGTGTTCCATGATTCATTGTTTGTGCATAACACCCAGTGCTCCACGCAGAATGTGCCCTCTTTAATACCCACCACCAGGCTAACCCATCCCCCCACCCCCCTCCCCTCTAGAACCCTCAGTTTGTTTCTCAGAGTCCATCGTCTCTCATGGTTCATCTTCATCACCTGCTTCTATTAGAGCCCATTATGGACACGTAATAATGGTTGCTAAACAGCTCCTCCCTCCTTGACTCTTGACCTTTCCAAGGTAAATTAGCCCAGCCTGGGCCTGCATCCACGGTGCCTCCTGAGCATGGAGGTAGCGCCTCTCACTAACAGACAGAAGTTTCAAATAAATGATTCTGAATCCACATGGGCTAACAGTTGATCCAAAGAAAGTTTCAAGAACATTAAGGATTTCTCCTTAGGATTTTACATCGATGCTTTTTTGGCACAGTTTACAGCTTCTTAACCTCTGGAAGATTTCTTGCCCAAGAATGGGGAGAAGTGAACCCTGACAGGTGGGATTGGGTTTATTTCCAGTGGGACTGGGGACAGAGGGAGGGAAGGGGCAGATTTTCACTCATCACAAGAAGCACTTGATACTTAAGAGTCTCTGTAGGGTCTAGACTAGGGATTTGGAAGAGAAGCATTTAATACCTCGAATGCTTAATCAAAATGTTTTTTAAATG